CGCAGCCCGCGCAGCCCCGGCCCTGGCGCCCGCGCGCTGCCCGAGACTACAACTCCCGAGACCCCGCGCCCGCGTCACGGGGAAACGTGGGCGGCGCCCCAACTTGGGGGGACCCGGGCGCCCGAGGCTTTGGCCTGGACACCTCTGACTCCAAGATGCCATGAGGGCTGTTCTACCTTGTACCTGGGGTGGAAGTGCTAGGAAGCGGGGAACTCCGGGGACCTGCCAACTTTCCATCTTCACGTGTGATTGTCATCGTGCACATGGCTGCAGGCCCCCTGCTGCTGCCACCGCCGCGGCAGCGCACATTTTGTAGCCTGGACTGGCTGACAGTGAGTGAGGTTTCGGAGAAGGGCTCACTCAACGTGGCACCCGGTGCCTGCCTCTGTCCAAGGCTGAGGCGGGTCCGCAGAGAAGCGAGCACAAAGCCTTGGCTGTTCCTTAAGAAACCCAAGCGCCCTGAATTTGGCTTATGTTTCCCGCGGCTCAGCAAACTCTGGAGGAGGGCTGCTTTCATTAGATACTTTATTTTCGGGCTTACGAGTACACAGAGTACTGGCCAAAAGTCACCATGTACAAAATGTATTTCCCAACTGATCAACACTTCCTTGAAATAAGGCAGCAGAGACCAAAGGATATCCATCCTAAACAGACAATTATAGGTGTCAATTAAGGGTAGGGTAGGTAAGGATTAATATGGCCAGGTGTTGGTAAACAAAGAAGAGAGGAAGGTGAGAGACCCAGAAGAATCTGGGAAAAGAAGACAGGATAGTGTGAGGATAAACTACCCACCAGTTCCACCAAAACTCACAAGCCAAGAATGCACTCCTGGACATACTTTTCACGATTGAAAAGGGTGGGAATACTTCCATTCACACACTAGAAGTGTGCCTGGCACGCTGTCTAAAAGGCAACTCTAGCGACTGTTGGAGCCCTTGTGAGAGGACACTGGGGCAGATCATTACCTGAAGCGTGCATTGGCCCAGGCGCCAGAAGCCAGGAGCCAGGGGAGCCGAAGTTTCACAACATTGGTGAGGCAAAGGTTATGTGCAGAAACAGGGCTTTGTACTGTAGAGAAATAAAGTAGACTAAACTGCACAATGGTATGAAGAGGGAGAAACCTTTTTGGACCGAATGGAAGGTAGAAATGGAAACAGGAAAGCTGTTGGAGAGCCCTTTTCCAAATCACATTGGGACAAGTAGTTAAAGCAGGGCCAAGAAAGAAGTATGGCTGTGCAGGGTGATCACTGTACAAGAAAATCCAGCTGAATGTAACAGTATGGGGCAAAATGCAGCCTACCTTCTCTGCTGGCCATGCTCTGTGCACCAAAGGAGTACCTCTTTCAAATTCATGCAGAGTCACCATCTTCCTGCCTGACTGCATTACTATTGGAGCAGGTACCTTTTTCTCATCTGTCCAATGGGCCATGAACCCTCACTGGAAGCTTTGCGAATCTTAAACAATATATCCTCTTGAGCTGGGTTTGAGTCCCTGTCCAATCATTATCATGGTGAAGGCCTTGGAGTACTACTCGAGTTCTGAACTGGCTGTTCTAGCATGATGTGCGGTAAGGCATAAGCACTCCAGAGCTGTGACGTGGAGGCACCTTTTGGCTTAATATGGAAGTCTGGATAGTTCCTAAAAGAGAATTACACCAAGATAGAACTCCTTGACAGAAGGCTCTTCATGGATAGTTGGTAGGGGGGGAGTATCAGGTAAGAAGTAGGACCAGATGTCTTTAAAAATCCCTTCCAACTCTAATGCTATGTTAGTTGTTATGCTCCAATGAGGACAGCTCTTAAAATAGGCAGAGCAAGAGATGAGATTTCCAGTGCTGATTATGTGGTGGAATGACTTTAGGGCAGGCATTTAAACCTCCATGTCTCCACGTACACAAGTGATTTCACAACTCTTGGCAAAAACAGTGCTGTAGAAATAGTTTATTGGTTAAATACTGTATTTGGATATTACCTTCCTTCTGGGATTTTCAAATAATTTGTACACTTCATTTTATTCATCTGTGTTACACAACAGAAACATTAGAAATGAGAAAATGGAAGAACGTATGGCTTTTTATACATTTACTCCACAGCACAACCAGTCCACTCAGTCTCTCATTCTGTTGGCTTTGAGAAGGCAGAGGAGTTTACTTGGTAGGTTTTCATTCTAGCTTCACTGTAACTCCTGGAGAAATTTGGGGTGGGTGCCTATGGCTTCTTGTTGGCCATCACGTTCTTCTGGGAAAGGACAGGAATTCAAGGAGGGAGCTTAAAATATTTCAAATAATTGTTAACATTCCATGGTGATTTTCCCAAAAGAAGGCTCAGAGGTAGGAAGGAAATCTGTCCCTATTCCTTTCTCTATACACAAAGGCCTCATTTAAATTTGTGAGCCACCTGGGGATCCACTACCCTATCACCCGCTATCCTGCCAAAAACACAGCAGGTTGGATAGTCACCACCCCAACAGGGCTTCCTTCCCACCTGCATGGGCTAATATCTAATTGGCATTGACCCTCAGAGTGGACCATGGAGATAGAATGTCTCTTTCAGAGGCTTTTCCATGGGGAAAACACTTGTTATTGCCCATGTTGGGCTCACTGACTGGTCGGGCTCCAGAGGCTCCTACTCTCACTTGGTACAAAAGCTTTACATTCTTTTTTTTTTTTTTTATAAAGATGACCAGTAAAGGGATCTCAACCCTTGGCTTGGTGTTGTCAGCACCACACTCGAGCAAACCGGCCATCCCTATATAGGATCCGAACCCGCGGCCTTGGTGTTATCAGCACCGCACTCTACCGAGTGAGCCACAGGCCGGCCCAAAAGCTTTACATTCTTTTCCCTTCTGGCATTATATTCTTCAAAGACTTCCATGCTTGCCAACTGTCTACAACTCAAGCTTTACTATTTACTCTTGCATAGCCCCAAAGCCCCTGCAAACCCAGCTTCCTTCCCTCAGTAACATCACCCACAATGGCCCAAGAAACACAAAGCCTTAAAATCCAGGCTTAAGGGGCCAAGCCCATGGCGCACTCGGAAAAGTGCGGCGCTGGGAGCGCAGTAGTGCTCCCGCCGCGGGTTCGGATCCTATATAAGGATGGCCGGTGCGCTCACTGGCTGAGCGCGGTGCGGACGACACCAAGCCAAGGGTTGCGGTCCCCTTACCGGTCACAAAAAGGACAAAAGAAAAAAAAAATCCAGGCTTAAGTTCAGTGAGGGAAGAACACTCCATATTAATGGGCATGATATGCCTATCAAGAGGTGTCAGATGTTATTAAAGATAGCCAAGAACATACCTAGTCAAATGAATATTATTGGTTCTGAAGCAGCCTGCTGTAAAGTTCCACTTAGTTCAATGCTACTGCCACTGCACCACACAGCATGGGACAGTCCTCTTTGGGAAATCTCTAGGGCCTGTGGGAAATGCTCTGAAACATGTTCCTTGATGGTAAAGTACCGATTTTCCAAACAGGTGAAAAATGTCTAGAGGCAGGTCTAGTGAATAAACTGATAGTACCATCTTGGACCCCAGTGAGGGATGGGCAGTAAGCAAGAGGCTGAGCTACAAGGGTGTTAACTGGCTGAGGGCCATCCTCAGAGAGGGTTTTCAGGCATACCTCAAGAAACGGGAGCATCACCTCCAATAGGCCAGCTATGAAGGACAACCTTTCATTTAAGTACAAGGCTTAGTGATTTATACAGTCATACTGCATAAATTAGTAATGTTTCCTGGGTGGAAAATATATGCACTTGAAGCAAAGTGCCTCAATGAAAAAAAGTTTAAAAGCAAGGTGTTTCCATCAGTCTCCTGAGAGGACCTTTGTGAGGATTACAAGACAAACACATAGAAGAACACAACAGGTGCATACTAAACGCTTCCCTTCACACAAAACCAGAATGGAATCAGGTGCCATGCCCCTACACTCCTCTTCAGGTGTTCTTTCTAAGTTCCATAATAAAACCAGGAAACAGTTGACCCAGCTATAAGAAGACAGACTCAAAAAGTATTTCCAGACTAAGAAGCCAAAGAGTTCCAGTGAAATCCTATGTTGCAAGTCATAAGATCAGTCAGAGAGCTGGAAGACTAAAATCACTGGTCCTCTGACCTGCAGGAAGAATGGGTGGGGGTGGGGGTGGGGGCAGGTAGTTGGCAGAGCCTCCCTGACTCAGAAGGCTTTGGAGAGTAGTTAACATTATAAGTTAAAGGCACTTCTAGTTCAGATGCATAAGTAGAGGGCAAAGATGTTCTCCTTTGAAGGAACTGAGCCCAGAACTGGCAAATTACATCAGCTCCATGGGTTTGGAGCACTCTGGTTCTTGGTCACCATCACAACTAAACCCTTCTAACTTACCCACCTCCTTCACTGTCCCAGCATCCTTCTGCACTGCAAGCTGTGGCTTGCTGTGTTTTAATGGCATAGTTGTAGTAGTTGCTGCACCCCATTTCTGAGGGGGCACAAACTAACAATACCTGTGAGAAGCTGCTGAGATGAAATAGCAGACTGATTTTGTGACCCTGAGGTGGAGAAAGCTCTGGGGCAGGCGGTTTTGGTTTTAGGAAGTCTCACTTAAACCCTATATTTCAAAGCACTGAGGTTAGGCTGATTTGCAGTGCCTCGAAAGTTCAATGTGCAGAATGTCCTGTGGACTTCAGACCTTAGCCTAACGCTGCATTAGAAAAGTGTTTACTAGGTGATGGCAATGCTGTTCCTGGGGATTTTTACTGTAAAGATCGGAGTTAAATACTCTTGGGAGGTAGGAAGGAGAAAGCACAGGGCAGGGGAAGGGGCATAAGGCAGGCAAGAAGGGCTCATTTCACTCCCTCTGGGGTGTAGTTCAGTACTTTTCTTTTTTGCAGCTAAGGCTCCAATCAGGCAATTATTGCTAATGTTGAATTTCTCTTTGTATGTATATTTAAGACTGTTTAGTCACAACTTCAGTCAGTTCCAACCTTGTTTTGATAATTCCCTTTTAGTCTGGGCAAAGGACAGTCTGTTCACAGGTAAAAATGAGGTTAAAAGCTGGAATTCCACAGCCCTAGGCAAGGCAGGTTTTTTTTTTTTTTTTTTTTTT